TGTAGTAGTGTCTTATTATGCTTTAAGTTATAATTTTTTAATTATAAGAGATTTCAAAAATATTTTCATATGCTTGCCATCCCTGTCTTATTTAGTAATATGCCTAGGTATTTTGTAAATTTCAGTTTTACTTTCTTTCCAATCTGCTTGGATGCTTTTTTTACTTGATATTTTTTATTAGTACTTATGTGTCATATGCACTGATCACATTCATAAGGGACTTATGCCTCTACTTAATATAACTTGATTCTTCTTTTTCATCCCCCACCCCAAATCCTTCCTATTTACAAAACCTTAGTATCCATTTTTTTTTCCTTTTTTCCTTCCCACTCCTCTGTTCTCCTTCCTATTGAACTAGTTCTTCCTATTTCCCAGTATTAATCCTTCCCTGTACTGCTTGTTTATCCTTTGGGATTTTCACAAAAGAGAAACAATGCAATATTTCAATATGTGTGAGTTTTACTTCCCTTAAGATTATGGTCTTGGGGCCACTGAGTTAGCTTGGTGGTCTAAAGTGCCTGCTTACACAAGTGTGCAGGGACTGTGGTTCAGTCCCCAGCACCACATGTTTCACCAGCCCTACCTCCACCGTGGGCTGAGAAGGCCACACACACAAAAAAAGATTATGGTCTTTAGGTACATTCATTTTCCTACAAATAACTCAAGTTCGTCCTTGATGGCACAGTAGTACATTGTTGCATTTATATGCAATTCATTTATCTATTCATGCTTAGATGGTCATATGCACTGTTTCCAAGATGTAGCTATCATAAATTGTGCTGCTGTAAACATGGGTGTACATGTATCACTGTGATATAATGCTTGTAACTCTTTCAAGAAGATACCCAGAAAAGGAACGCTGGGTAAAATGAAACCTCTGGTCTTAGTTTTTGGAGGAATAACCATACTGATTTTCATAGTAGTTGTACAAATATTCCCACCAATTGAAAAGAAATATTCCTTTCCTAACAAAGACTTGCAAACATTTGTTATTGATTGATGCTAGCCAATCTCACTGTTGTTTCAATTTGCAATTCTTAAATGATCAGTGATGCTCAGAATTTTTTCATGTATTTATTTGGTGTTTATACTTCTTCATCTGAGACATGTCTATTTATTGCTGGCATCTATTTTTGGATTGGGTCTTTGAATTTGAGGGGTCTGATTTTTTGAGATCTCTGTATGTTCTATTTGCAACACCTTTGTCTGAGGAGTGACTGGTAATTTTTTCCCCATACTGTGGGTTGTCTCTTCACTTTGTCAGTGGTTTCTTTTTCTGTGCCATAGCTTTTTAGTTTGATGGGATCATAGCTGTTGGGGTTTTTTGGTAATATTTCCTGTGTGACTGGGTTTTGTTCTTAAAGTCTTTGCTACACCTAAGTCTTCTGGACTTTTACCTATTCTATCATCCCACAAATTTAGTGTTTGTGTTTTAATATTTATTTTTAATCCATTTCCATTTTAATTGAGTACATGGTGAAAGATATGGGTCTAGGTTCAATCTTTGGCATGTGGAAAGCCAGTTTTCCAAGAAACATTTATTTAAAAGGCTATCTTTATATCAAAGGTATTTTAGCATTTTGTAAAAGATAAGGTAGCTCAGTGTGCTTGGAATTATTTTCGCATCTTTTATTCTGTTCAGTTGATCCTCAGTTCTATTTTTTCCCAGCACAGTGCTGTTTTCACCATGGTAGCTTTGTACTATAACTTTAGATTGGGGATTGTGATGCCCTCTACCTTGCTCATGCTGCCGGGAAATTTTTTGTTTTTGTTTTTACTTCAGGTCTATTCTGGTTTCATATGAGTTTTAGAAGATTTTTCTCTAGTTATATGAGATTATGTTACTGGTATTTTGTTTGGAACTACATTAAATCTATATAATAGTTTTGATAGTGTGGCACATTTCACTGTATTGTTTTGGCCAATTTAAAAACATGGACTTAGCTTTCCATTTTCTGTTGTCCTCTCCAACTTCCTTTTCATAGTTCTGTTCTTTTCAATGTAAAGGTCTTTTACTTCCTTTGTTAGATTGATTCCTAGGTATTTTATTTTTCAAATATTCTGTACTCTGGTGTATATCTAATTTTTTTCTCAGTGAGTTTGTTATTTGAATGCTGTTGAGTTTTTGAGTGTTGACTTTGTATCAAGCTATAGTATTGTATTTGTTTATTAAATCTAGAAGTCTTTTGGTGGTGTTTTGGGGATCTTCTATGCAGAGTATTATATCATATGCAAATAATTATAATTTAATTTCTTCCTTTCCTATCCTTATTTCTTTCATGTCTTTGCTCTGGCTAATGTTTCCAGAGTTACACTGAGTAAAAATGATGATAGTGAACATCTCTGTCTTCTTCTTAATATTAAAGTGAAAAAATTGGGATTAAGGAAGATATAGTTGTTGAAGAGATGGGTGTCATTAGGAAGGAAACAAGTACTCTGCACCAGGTCAATAAGAAAGGTGACTTGAGGGTATCAAGGGACTTGCTTAGCCCTCACCCATCCACCTCAGGTTTAATGGAATAAAAATATAATCCTTTAAAAGACTTTCTGTTAAGGATAGATCATCAGAGTACCCTGCTCCTGCAGGATAGTTTAGGCACTTGCTTTCTCAGCATTCATTTTGCCATATTCAGCCATCGAGGCACTTAGCAGCTATGGGCAAATGTGTGGAAGACCCCAGAATCATCTATGTAGTGTGAGAATTATGGAAGTAAAGAGGCTGCTAACAAAATTCTAAGGAAACCTGATGCCAGGCAATGTCTAACAGGGTCAGAATCTCAGAAGGAAGCCTTTGAAAGGCAGTGTGAAAGCTGTGAGAATGAAGCTCAGGCTGTGGGAAAGACCCTGGGAAAGCAACAATACCACAAATATGGACTGCCTACCAAAAGTACTGAGCAGAGCCAGCTGAAGAGAGTGGCCATGTGGGCTGCAACCAACAAGGCCATAATGATGGGTTTTCACAAGCTCTTTAGGGTTCACGTCATGTCAACACGTGCCCCGGATACCGTACATGGACTTATAGGATTTAATGTTTTCTCTGATGAGTTTTAGTCTTACTTTTTGTCTAAGCCCTGCTTTTCATGTTCCTATTCTTCCTTTTAGAAATGAGGATGTGTACCTTATTTGATCATTGTATGTTGGAAATTCCCAATTTAACATCTGTTTAGCTACACAGACATAATGTTTGCTTTTATGGTCTGAAATACAAACCCATTAGTTATAAAAGTTTGTCAAATGCTAAATATCACTATCCATTATCAGTGTTCCTAATTGTAGTTCTGTAAATACGAAACTGTAACTGCCTTAACCACATAATCTCTCTTGGGTAAGAATTTCGGTAGGTCCTAAGGTTATAACTGCAATAAAGCTCTACAACAAAGGTCAGAGGACAGTGCTATACAAAATAAAAAAGAGAAGGAGCAAAAGGCATTCTCAGGCCCCATGCCCACCCAGAACAAATGCAGGAGACACCAGCATAGAAGAAATTAGGAATCACACAGCTGAAATCTCTGAATTAATAGCATCCAAAGTAAAGAAACAACTGCAGAATGGTATAGAGGAAATCAGATCAGAAATAATCTCTGAAGAAAAGAAAGAAATGATAACTATAGTGAAAGAATTACTAAGTACTTCTAAGGAAGACATTGATTAAAAAAAATAGAGGAGAGTAGAAAAATGATGGAATCCTTGAATGAACAATACAGGAAAGAAATAGAGACCATGAAGTAGATTCAAGGAGAGATACAGGAAATTAAAACCTCAATCACAAGGAAGAATGTAAGGTTTTTTTTTTTTTTTTCTTCTGGAAGCATTTGTGTGTGTGTGTGTGTGTGTGTGTTTTGTTTTCTGTTCTTTAAACAGGATCCCACTCCTAAGAGTTTACTTTATGGCTCAGAAAATACTTTTGT